TGGCTAAATCCAACATGGCCTAAAAAAGAGGTTAGGCCCACATTCACCAAGGGCTCTATGGCCCATTCAAAGAAACTATTAGAAATTTAGAATGTTTGTTCCAAATATATTTGACTATTATATTTGTGTGTTGGATATTTGATTGTAATATAATCTTTAGCTAAATAGTTTTTGTGAAAATAAAAAAAGAAGAGTATATTTTTATGGACAATTTTCTATTTAACCCTATTAAAATATTTGAAGAAAATTTATCGATATATTATTGTAACTTGCATGCCATCTCATTTAATTTAAAACACAATATTTAAGTTTCATTTGGGATAACTTTTTTATTGTTTTTTAAAGAAATTTTCTAGTACAAAAAAATTTCTAATTCATTAAATTTTTGCATTAAAAAATTATTTTAGAAGCAGTAAGAAAGTTGTTCCAAACGAAGTCTTAATCAGCTAAATAAATAACAGTAAATCAAACACATAAAATAATATGCTACAAACATTTGAGAGAGATTCTAAATATCATGTGAGAGTGAAAGATATTGGATTTTAGCCCAGTTGGAAACGGGCCAGAATCATAGCCCACACACCCAATTGCTTACTCAACGGGCCAAAAATATGTAGAATATTCTATGCAATTTAAGTTATTACATTTATGTCATTTAAAAAAAAAAAACTTTTTAGTCGGCCGGATTTATAAAATCGGAACCATTTAACATTTAACCGGTTGAACCAATAGTTCATTTCAGTCTAGCCTGATTTGATGCAAAGCTGGTTCTTAAGTTGCAATGGACCGGCCATTTGACCGATCCACGGTTGAACCGGACTGTTCAGACCGGTTTTTTAAACTATGAATTTATATTAAAATTTGTGCAATTAATGATATTATGTATAATAACAAATCTCAATACAATTTTGAAGGCGCGAACCTACGTCGATATTAATTTATCTCACACGCTTTTTTATTAAAAATATTTTATTTGACCAATAAAAAATATGATAAATTTATTTGGTGAAGAAGTCAAATCAAATGTATTCATGTTAGGTGTACGTTTGATTTCAATATAATTGATAAATAATTAAGTTTTTAAAAATATATTAATAAATAATATATTTATATCAACAATTTCATATTCAACCTTAATGAAAATTTATAAGAAAGTTTTACCAATTTATTACTGTGATTTGCTTCTCTCACCTCTTCATTTAAAAAAAAAAACTCTGTTTCATCGGTAAATTAACAAAAAAGCTTTGATTTCCTTTTTCCTCACCATTTCCTCTCTGTCAACTCCTTTAACCATTCAGAGTAGTTGAAAGCCAAGCAAATCAGAAAGATAGGGGGTGTCAATAAATGTAGTAGCGGAGCTAAGATTATTTATCTACGGGGGCACAAATATCTTCTTTGAAAAATAACATCAAGCTTTTTCATTCGAGCTTGAAATTAATTTTAGGATTTTAAGTTTTTTTAAATATCTAACTTAAGGTTTTCATATATAATTTAAATAAAAATAATTTAAAAAAATTTTATAATGAGCAATAAATATATTAAAAAAGTAACATCTTATTAATATAAAAACTTATAATTAGAATATTTTAAGCTACTTGATTTAAATTTAAATAATATAATATTTCTCTAGTGTAATTTGTTGGCTTTAATTATATACATTTCCTATAAAAGAAAATTTGAAGATTTAAAAATAATAAAAGAAATGATGAAAATTTTAATTTAAAAAAAAAAACTAGTAATGTGAAGATAAATGATTAAAATGAAATATATATAAAGAGAAAAATATAAATGAAAAAAAAAATTAAGATAGTCAAATAAAAATCAACAAAAAAATAGCTAGCATCACAAATGAGATAGTGGAAGAGAGTAGAGTGGAGAGAGAGGTCGTGAGAAAAAAAAAAATCTTTCACCTATTAAGTAAATGATCCCATCTGTTAGTCACATGAGCCTGATCTGAAAAATTCGAGTTCCGATTGATCAGTTTAATAAACGGGTAAGGTTTTCTAACTCGTTGATTAGAAGGGTACGTATGACTTATATATGTTGACATAAGAACCTAATTTTGACCTAAAAATGACATGTTTATTTTTTTTTTCGTTATTTTTTTCCTATTAAGTATAGTCTTCTTATTTTAGATCAAATATTCTAAACTTTATGGTTAATAAGTTATAAAGAAAAAATTTCTTAACTAAAACAGGTTAACAAGTTGGGTATAGCGGTGTCAATTTCTGACACGACCCGAAAACTTGATCCGAACCCGACACGAAAAATCCGAGTTAGGGTCAACCCGTGAAAGAAACGGGTTGGGTTCAGGTTTAAGGATTAGACCCGTTTATATATTCGGGTCGAGTTAGGGTCAACCCGTCAACCCGCGGGTCGACCCAAATAACCCGCGAAGCTTATAATTGTATAGTGTATACTTGTAAGTTGTAACAATGTATGTAGCAAAACGGCTCGGGTTCGGGTTAGGGTCAACCCGTCAACCCGTGGGTTGACCCGAAAACCCGCGGAAGACAGAAAAATGGGAAATGTTCGGGTCAACGGGTCCTGTCGGGTCAACCCATAAACCCGCTCAGGTCGGGTCCGTGTTGGCCAACCGGCAGACCCGTTTAATCAAACGGGTGGGGTTTTGGTCAACCCGTTTACACTCGGGTCATTGCGGGTTATAACCGAACCCGACCCGCTGACCCGAATTGACACTACACATCATTCGAGTTTAAATTGGTCTTTTTAACCTGTTTATTAAATCGGTTGGTTCGGGTCAAATGGATTCAAGCATATTAATTTATAAAATATGATTCAAACTCAACCCGCCAACATATTTTGACTTCCATACACAGATAAAAAAGAATAAGAAGAAAAAGAAAATTTTATTTATTTTAGGTCATCTGGAATAATTAATCTAATTAATTTTGACTAAGATTAAAAAAACTCCTATTAGATTTGCCATTCAGGGAAACACTTGTCTCGGGAAACAAGTACGTGAAGATGGATAACGTTTGAAAATTACTGATCTCTCAAAAGAGAACGTCCATATATTAAATTAGAACTTCAGTATCATCAGTAAGGTCAGCTCCAATTAATGACGCAGGTCTTGCCTCCCCCATAAGCGCCTCTCTCAGCATGTCGGTTCTCAAGTAAACGGTAGATGAGCAGTGCAAGAAGATGACTTCTATCATAACAGATTACAATATCCTAGTATAAAAATTTTGTATAAATTTATTTTTTCATCTATTATTTTAGATAAAAAAATTGAATTGGTCCTTTAGTTTTTTATTTATGAATGATCAAAATAATTTCAGACTATTTTGATTTGGTCTTTTAATTATTTAAATAGGGATAAAATTAATCATTCCGTTAAAAATAAATAAACGGAAAAAAGCTAAGATTTTGACAAGAAATGATCACATTATTGATTGAGAGGTAATTTCGGAAAAATGAAGTTTTAATTTTCATTCTTCCTCTAAATCGTCAAACAAATTAAACATAATACGTATGCACGGTCTCAATCTATCCCCGCATATATACATATAGTTTAACAAGCCTTTTCAATGGAATTTTGAAGAATAAGATGTTATATGACTAATAAGAAATATTTTTAGAAAATATAGTCTAATAAATCAAGTTACATTAGGCTAAAGGGTGAGAGAGAGAGAGAGAGAGAGAGAGAGAGAGATTATGAGTGTACAATTTTTAGAAAGTGTGTGGAGACTCCAACTTCTATAGTAACTTGATCAAGATAAAGTATGACTAGACACCCCATGAAAGGGCTTCACTCATCGTGTCTCTCCAACATATCTACGTTTCATTTGGGATGGGGTGTCAAAATCGTATCGGACTATACCCAAAAAATTTCGGGTTCGGGTCAACCCATTTGCATTATGGGACATGTTTGAGTTCGAGTTTTTGACCAGTTTATAAAATCGGGTCGGGTTTGAGTTGACTTGGAAACCCGAAATCGACCCGTTTTGACACGAGAAATTGACCCGTCACATCATGATTCATGCCATCCAGTCACGTACGTCGTGTCATGCCACCTCGGTCTCGCTTCGTCCAATCGCATATAACAGTCTAGTTGTGTCAGGCCATCGCGTCGCCCATTCGTCGCAGTGTAGGCCGCTCCGGTGCTCGATCCGCCACTCCTCCTCGCCATGCCGCCTCGCCTCGCCATGTAGGGTTCGCTTGAGTCGCTTGACCACGCCAGGTCTGCCTCGGTCTTGCCATGCTCCGGCCGCTCAACCGCTTCGCCTCGCGTCACCTAGATCGTGCCACAGCGCTAGTTCGCTCGCCCAAATTGCCTTGCCGCCACCTCAGCCCACATTAGTTTGCTTGATCACATCAGTTTTTGTGGGTCGGGTTGGGTCAACCCGTAACCCTGGCGGGTAGGGTTTGGGTTGAAAATTAGGATCCATTTGTAAAATAGGGTCGGGTTCAGATTGACCCGTTTAGATCAATTTAAATTAATGTTCGACCCGAACCCGACCCACGTGACCTGTTTTGACACCCCTAATTTGGGATAATATTATTACAATTTTCTAAAATAAATTTTTAGTACAAAAATTTCTAATTTAAAAATATTTAATATTAAAAATTGCGTGTAAAAAATAATAAAAAAGTTATCCTAACCTAAGCCTTAAGCTGGTTTATTGGGAGCTTGGTAATGGTAGTAACCTTAACTTTAGGGTTGGATTTAAATGGATCAGAATGAACGTTAAGGAGATAATTTAGGCGGATATTATCTTAGCAAATACATATAATGTTGGTTAACGTGGAATATTCTCCTGAATTGGATGGCATTTAAGGAGCAGAAGACAAATTAATCTTTTTCATAACACATTTAAAACACCCAGTTTGTCAACTGCGGTGACTCCATTAATTTCACCATATAAAACTCTCAACTTGCTTCAACGATTTTCCATAAAAAAACCAGCAACTTGCATCTCTCCTTTCACTACATATAACTAATTAATCGCAGCTCATTTCATCGATCCAAACCTCAGCTTCAACGTACTATTCCCCCAGCTGCAACCTGACCGTATCCTCTCTTCCTTTCTCACCTTTCTCATCCTTATAATATCCTCAAAAACCTATCTGCATATTATGAGCAGCCCTTCTCCCTCAATAGCCCAAATCACCCTTCGCCAAGTCTACGATAGAGGATAGCTTCCTTGCTTTCGTATTAATGGAGATATGTCGAAGCTCCAGTGAAGTTGGTACCTGCAGACCTAAAGGTCTCATGTCAAAGACGCTTCAACGTTGCCGCTCGCTTAGGCGGCGGTCCGGCCGGGACAAGGCCACGCCGGTGGGTTGGGTTTCGGTTCGAGTCGGATCTGAGAAAGAAAAGTTCCTGGTTCGACCGGAGTGGATGAACCACCGCCTTTTTCGACGGCTTCTCGATGAGGCCGAGGAGGAGTATGGATACATGACGAAAGGCTCACTTGAGCTTCCCTGTAGCGTTGAGGTATTCAACTTGGTGCTTTGGGAAATGGACCAGGATGAGGCCGATAGCGCCGCCTCAACATCTCCGACGTTATGTGGGTTCGCCGTCTCGCCTTTGAGGCGAACGAGAAGTGGATATCGCCTGCTTAGTCCGTCTCCGCTCGTCGCCGCATGCCGGTTATAGGTCATCGTGCTGGCATGTTATAGAATTACATGAGTGGCTGCATGCGTTTCAACATACGTTGATGTCGGAGCTGATGATTATCTCTGTAATTAGAAATTATTAAATGTGGTATCGGGATGAAGTTTGTGTCCAGATTCCATTTAGAACAGATCATGTTAGTTTTGTACATAGCCTGTGTACAAATTATACACATGCTATATACAGACTGACGTGACACGTTCTAATTGTCCGGACTCCACATATAATAAATTTTGCTTTGTAATTAGGTTATGCCTGAAATTACAGACAATAAAAAAAGAAAAAAAAAAAAACTTCTTGTTATTGTCATTTATCAATCCTACATAATATTCATTGAGGCAATCAAGATTTCATGGCGTCGCTCTGGCGATTTAGGGTTTCCTTCCGGTGCTCTCCGTCTTTTTCTTCGGGGCTGCCTTTTTCGTTGTGAGCTGTGAGATGTGAGTGTTTTGTTGGTTCTTTTGGTGTTTTTGCCCTTTTGGGCGTGGCTCTCATGGCGGATGTTCCTCCAGCTAATCCTTGGGGGAAGGCGTCCGATCCTTTGGTACTAAAGAACAAAGGTTTTTTTAACCTTGATGCAGATGGTTCGAAATCTCCCTCGCTATCTAGATCTTTCAAAGAAGTTTTAGCTGGTGCTTCTTCAGGTGATATTTTACCTACTTTACAGCAATCGGTTTTTAATGGGGTCCGGCTGTTCTTCTGTCTGATGAGTAAGTTCTTAAACTTGCCTCCCCGTTTTAGTTTACGCTTGTGGGTAAATTTGGTTTGCGCCGGCCAAATCTGGATGCTATTCGAAATTTTTTTTCTTCTCTTAAACTCTCTGGTTTTTACTCGGTTGGTCTCTTGGATTTGAGACATGTGGCTATTCAATTATTTAATGATTTAGATTATAGTAGGGTTTTTGCTAGACGTTCTTATTTTATATATAACTGTCAAATGAGAGTGTTAAAATGGACGTCTTTTTTTTTTGATATTAAGGAAGAATCGCCCATAGTGCCGATCTGGATTTCTTTCCCTAACCTAGATCCACGAGAGCTCAAACTTTCTCTAAAGATTGTAATGATTAAAGCTCTCATGTGGAATGTTAGGGGTATTGGTAGTAGGGATTCTAAAATTAGAGTTAAAAATCTTTGTAGGATTCATAATATTCAAGTTCTTGTTTTAATTGAACCATTTATTTCTCCTGATAAAATTGATTATACTTCCAATTTCTTAGGTTTTCCTATGCATTTTGCAAATTGTGCTAATAAAATCTGGATTTTGTGGCATAAGGCTATCTCTTTAGATATTATTGCGGAATACCATCAAGTGGTGCATTGTCATATTAATATTTTTAATGTGAATTGTTTTGCTTCTTTTGTTTACGCGGCTTGTACTAGACTTAATCGTATTACGCTGTGGGATCAACTTATAGATTTCTCTGCTAATATTAATGGTCCTTGGTGTGTTGGTGGAGATTTTAACATTATTTCTAATGCTAGTGAACGTACTGGGGGTAGTCAGCCGAACATTAGAGCTATGGAAGACTTTAATGCTATGATTAATGACTGCAATCTTAATGATATTGGTTTCTTTGGTAGCCCCTCACCTGGAATAGATCTAATCTCTAGCAACGCCTTGATAGATTTCTTTTCAATAATGAGTGGATGGCTCAATTGTCTGCTACTAATGTGGAACATTTAAGTAGAACTCTTTCTGATCATGCTCCTATTCTTTTAAATATTAATGTTGCTAATGAAATTGGTTCTTATGCTTTTAGATTTCTTAATATGTGGTTACTGCATGATAGTTTTAAAGATGTGCTTCAGACCAATTGGAATGCTCCTGTCTTTCTTGATAACAACATCTCTAGTATGTTGAGACTCCAGGCTAAATTGAGTAGACTAAAACAATGTCTTAGATATTGGAATAAGAATGTTTTTAAAAATATATTCTCAAATATTGTGGAAGCTGAGAGGAAAGTTTCAATTTTGGATGGTGTTTATTTGGAAAATCCGAATGAGGTAAATCTTTTGAACCTTAATATTGCTAAGAATGTTTTATGTCAATTACATTTGCAAGAAGAATCTTATTGGAAGCAAAAGTCTCATGCTAAATTTGTTATAGAGGGTGATAGAAATACCAAATTCTTTCATGCTATTGCCAATAAGAATAAGACCAAGAGTAAAATTCACAAAATTGTGAATAATGAGGGCATTTTACTTGAGTTTGATGAGTTAATTTGTAAGTCGGGTGTTGATTTCTTTGTGGATATATCTTTAATAGTCATACTGATATTACTTCTATTTCTAACAGGGGTTAAATTTTTAATGTTATTAAGGATATGAATGGTGATGCTACAGCGGGGCCGGATGGTTTTTCCACCAAATTCTTCCAAAATTCGTGGGATATTGTTAAGGGGGATGTTATTGAAGCGGTGAAAGATTTTTTTGGAGGTACTCCTTATCCTAAATTTTTTTTCTCTACTAATATTGCTCTGATTCCTAAGAAAGAGGGGGCTAACACTTGGTCTGATTTCAGATTTATTAGCCTGTGTAGTTTTTTTAATAAACTTAATTCTAAGATCATTGCAAATAGATTGACGAACATTTCACCTAGAATTATATCTTTTAATCAAACTGGTTTTGTCAAGGGGAGAAGTATTTATGATAATATTTTACCTGCTCAAGAACTTACTCATGATATTAATACTAAGGTCACGGGGGGTAACATTATTTTTAAACTGGATATTACTAAAGCTTATGATAATCTGGATTGGAATTTTCTTTATAAGGTGATGACTTTGTTTGGCTTTAGCAACAACTTCATTTTACTTATTAAAAATAGTGTTGAGAATTGCTATTTTTCTATTATTATTAATGGTAGAAATCATGGTTTTTTTAAATCTTCTAAAGGTCTCCGTCAAGGTGATACGATTTCTCTTGCTCTTTTTATAATTTCTATGGAATACTTATCTAGAGGATTAGAAGATTTGTATGCTAAGAATGTTAGCCTTAATTTTCGTACTATTAGAGGCTTTCCTATATCTCATCTGAGTTTTGCTGATGATTTCATTTTATTTTCCAATGGTGCCATTAAAAACATAAAATTTTAATGAGATTCCTTAATAATTTTCATGGCTCTAGTGGTCTTGCCTTTAGCAAAGACAAAAGCAACTTTATTGTTGGTAATTCGATAAATCAGAATATGATTCAAGCTATTCAAAGGATATGTGGTTTTCAATCTAAGAAGTTACCTATAAAGTATTTGGGTAAGCCTATTTATAAAGGTAAAAAGAAGAATCTCCTTTTTGAAGGTATCTTTACTATTGTTCAGAAAAAGTTGGCTAGCTGGACTTCTAACTTTCTTTCTTTTGGAGGTAGATTGGTTCTTATTAAGTCTGTTCTTAATTCTATTCCTATATATCTTTTTCACACTTTAATGCCTACTGCTTCTATTTGTACTAGACTGGAGAGAATGATCAACAAATTCTGTTGGGGTTCCAAATTTAATACCAATGACATTCATTGGGCGGCTTGGCATAAGAATTGTGGTGTTTTGAATGAAGGGGGCTTAGGTTGCAAAAATTTAAATGATACTGCTAAGGCTTTTTCTCATAAATTATGATTTTCTTTTAGAACTAATATCAGTTTATGGGCCCGTTATTTGAATGCTAAATATTGCCATAATCTGCATCCGAGTATTTGCTTTTACAAAAATACTGCTCCATAACTTGGAAAAGATTATGTAACATTAAATGGGAAGCTGAGCAGTACATTCAGTGGGGCTTAGGTAAGGATGATGTTTATTTTTGACAGTATAACTGGTTGGGTAGTATGTCAATTGATTCTTACTTAAATACACATATGATTGATTCTACTAAAGTTTCTGCATTCATTTTGGAGAATAGATGGAACATTTCTATGTTGAGGGAGTTATTGCCTACTTGTTTAGTGGATGAGATTGTGAATATTCCCTTACATCTGATTTGCAGTGATAAAATTTTATTTTCTTTATCTTCTAATGGTAAATTTCAATTGCGGAACATTTGGGAGAGTTTAAAATTTATATTGAAAAAATCAAATGTTTTTGCTGCTATTTGGCATAGTTCCTTTCTGATTTCTTATTCTACTTTTGTGTGGAGATGCCTTAAAGGTTTTCTCCCTGTTGATAATCTTCTTCAAATAAAGGTATTACTTTAGCTTCCAAATGCTTATGTTGTTCTAATTTGGATAGTATTAATCATCTTTTCATTAATGGTTTTGTTGCCAATAAGGTTTGGTTATATTTCAATAGCATTACTAATAAAAATTCTATGATTTACCATAGTAGCTTGATATCTATGTTAGAGAGCTGATTAAATACTACTAAAGGCCATATTCATAACTTGTTGCCTATTCTTATTCTCTGGTATATTTGGAAAGCTAAAAATGAGGCAAAACATGAAGAGGTTAAGATGGATGCGGCCCTTATTATTGCGAACAAGAAAAGAAAGGTTCAACAGCTCTATAATTTCAATGTTATATATGGTAAGATGTTTAATAATTGTAGAAATCTGGCGGTTATCTGTGGTATCAATTTGGATCAGATTAGTCATAATACGGCTTATTCAGTGGTTTATTGGATTAAACCAAAACCCTCGTATGTCAAATTAAACTCTGATGCTTCTGTTGGTATGCTAAGGGCTGGAGCAGGTGGTATTATCGTGATTCTACGGGTGATTTCCTGGCTGCTTATGCTGCTCCTTTGAATCACTTGGATGTTGTTACGGCTGAGCTGAATGCTTTATTCTTGGGCCTGGAATTATGTCTTAAATTGGGTTTTATTTTTGTTTGGATTGAAGTTGATGCTATGCTTATTGTCCAAATTATCACTGATGTTGTGCCCGATAACTCTATTAATTTCTACCTTATCAGGAAAAATTAAGACTTTTAAACCTCTTGAATTTCTACATTTCGCATATTTATTGGGAGGGGAACGTTTGTGCGGATTGGTTAGCTAATAAGGGTTGCTCTCTTAATTGCTTTGAAGTTTTCGATATTAACAATTTAGATCAGACATTGAAGGGTA